TTCCCTTAATAAATGAAATCATCATTTAAACTGCATTTAGTATTTACTTGCATTATCTTTGTGTAATATTAAAATTTGTTTGATGATCTGAATCTTTTAAGTGTAACAAATATGCAAAAAATAAAAAAAACAGGAAGGGGGCAAAAACCTTTTCACGGCACTGTACCTACAATTTGTATATTACCTCCATCAATCATGTCAATCGATCAGACGTGTATTTTGCACTATATAAAGCGTTATAAAGCCTATAATGCAAACTCAAATGCAAAATGTGCAGGAGGAGGAGAGGGAGGACTGTGGTAACACTAATGAGTAATGGAGCCACGAGTTGGTGCTGAAATATATGAACGAGCCAACAAAGATGACCAGCAAGTCCCTTCTCAATGTCTGGCAGGAGATATCAGGTGGGCTGGTGCCAGTTCCCAGGAAGCTGCTGGCAATCCCAGCAACAAGTACCCCGCCAGAGAGGAGCTTCAGTGTTGCTGGAAGATGAATTGAGGAGAGGCACATGGCGCAGGTGCACTCAGAGCGTGTCCAAATCCACTTTTGCTAGTTTAACGACGGGAAAAACGGTCGTCGCACCCGGCGCATGGTCTAAAAGGGTTGTCTCTATTCTCTTAATGAGTAATGGGTGTGTTTTGGGCATAAGGTGCAATAAACCAATCAGAGTGTCATCTCCCATTCCCTTTAAGAGCAAGTTGCAAGTTGGGGGCAATTAATTTTTCACGTAGGGCCAGGTCGGTTTGGACAGCTTTTTTTTCCCTTAATAAATGAAATCATCATTTAAAACTGCATTTAGTATTTACTTGCATTATCTTTGTGTAATATTAAAATTTGTTTGATGATCTGAATCTTTTAAGTGTAACAAATATGCAAAAAATAAAAAAAACAGGAAGGGGGCAAAAACCTTTTCACGGCACTGTACCTACAATTTGTATATTACCTCCATCAATCATGTCAATCGATCAGACGTGTATTTTGCACTATATAAAGCGTTATAAAGCCTATAATGCAAACTCAAATGCAAAATGTGCAGGAGGAGGAGAGGGAGGACTGTGGTAACACTAATGAGTAATGGAGCCACGAGTTGGTGCTGAAATATATGAACGAGCCAACAAAGATGACCAGCAAGTCCCTTCTCAATGTCTGGCAGGAGATATCAGGTGGGCTGGTGCCAGTTCCCAGGAAGCTGCTGGCAATCCCAGCAACAAGTACCCCGCCAGAGAGGAGCTTCAGTGTTGCTGGAAGATGAATTGAGGAGAGGCACACCACTCTCAGTCTGGAATGTGTGGACACCCTTGTTCTTGCATAGCAACAGAGGGACTCCATCTTAAAGGAAACTCAGTGAAAATTTGGTTATATAATGTGTGTGCGTGTGTGTGTGTTTGCTTGAATGTTTTGCATGAAATTTAATGTGTGTGCAATGCACACTGTGCATTGTTTAAGCTAGCTTTCAGTTCAATAAAATAAACTACATTTTGGATTTTTATTCAACTAAGGTGGGCATGCTGTGATCTGTATTTTTTACTGTAACTGACAGATTCCGGCCAAAATAAAATAATTTGTGGGAGTGGGACAGGAGAGGTTTGAAAATCCACTACTGTGTCACCCTCTAGTGCGCACATGAGCTACTAAACTTTTTTGTTTTTAAAAAAGATAAACCTAAAAATAAAACCACACAAAATTAAAAAGGGGGGGGGCAATGCTGTTTCATGCATGTTGAGTTATTTACACTGTTAAAAAGTTGGATTCTTATGCTAAACATGGCCAAAGTTTAAAAAAATGATTTGGACGTATAACAGAGTATTTCTGTGCCAAATACACACTTCCGGGTTTCTTACAAATTTCAGAACGTTTTTTTTTTTTAATCGTGGCTCTTCATGACGTAATGAAGGGTGGAGCTCCTTATATGGGCATTTCTCCCGGAAGAGCGCGCCCGCTGTTCTGTTGGCAATCAGTGCTCGTCACTCTTTAGCTTTGCCCACGGCGTGCCTCCAGGAGCTCGGCTGTTTTTGGAAAGAATGTAAAGCTGTATCTTTCTTTTATAAATATGAGAAAACTAAAGACTTTTTGGAGATATGAAGGATGCAGTACTACTCTATAGGTACTCAAGATTAACATGAGATCGGGTGAAACTGTGTGTGTTATGCCCCCTTTATCAAAGAGCCATGGGGAACACAAGTTCACTGTAAACACAAAATAAATTTGACAAAATACACTGAAAAACAAGGAAAATCAGTGGATTACCAGGGCTCTAGACTCATTCTTCAACTGTCTCAGATGGCCACACGAGCACATGATTTGGCTACAGGTTTTTTTTTTTTTGGTTACAACATGGGATTAATCAACGCATGCTGATGAATGGTTTTTCTTATATCATAGTTTATACCTATATGGTAATAAATGTAGTTAACATTCTACCTGTTCTTTTTCATCAGCATTATTTGGGATTTGAATTTAGGTGAACAGGAGTTCCTCATTAGCTCGAATTCACGATGTGACGTTTTACAAGAAAAGATGGGCTGATTGTCTATTTTGCTTACATCTATACACCTTTCAGTTTTTAATACTAAAGCAAAAGCTTAAGAGAGGGACACATTTTTATTCTTAATTGAAAAGCACAACAACAATAAAATGGTAGGCTGCAATTACAAACTATCTTACATAATGTTTATTAACAAAAACGAACAAGATGAGGCATGGCATACACTACATGCTGTATTATATATTGACTAATAAATTACAGAATGTTTAGCAAACACTGAGGAATCAAATAAATCAAATAAAAATAATTTTTTAAGATAATAGGCTTTTCAAAGTGAAAACAAAAAGAAAAGTAAAATTAAGCTGGCTGTCGGTGACAGTGCTTGCATGTTTTTCCCCAAGAAAACCAACATGCAGCGCAGACCATGCACTCGCACAAATGCGACAACGTCCAATTTTAATTTGCACAGTAACCCATGTGCACCTGGCTCACCATACCAGCATCACAATAAGAGACCTCTATGACCATATACACAAAGTCAATGTGTGTGCAAAAAAATTGAAAGACCCACCGTTACCAAGCTACTCGCCTTAGCCCTAGTAAGAAAAGTTACACACTGGCGCATTGGACTGATTTCACATGTGTTTCAGAGCATGGTCACGCTAGATGCGTTCGCAAAGCGTTCCGATGCAGCGTGAGTTCCCGAAGGGGAACTGGTAAATACCATAATTGGCTTAAATTCCATGAGGAACTACTATTTTCCAAAAATTACACATTCCTATGTGCCATATACATCCCACCATCTGAGTCTCCCTACTACAGTGAAGACATGTTCTACACATTGGAGAAAGAGACAAGCCAATTCCAGGTAGGGCTGGGACAATACGCTAATCTGCAGAATCAATACTATCCCGATACTTGTGCGCCGATTTAATATATATTGCAATAATTGAGTATTGTGATTATATAACTATTAAGATTCGATATTACAATTTATTGTGATTTTTGTTTGCTTTTTAAAGACTAGACAATGGAAAATACTTGATTATACCCTCATATTAACAAAAACAATGCACCACATCTTTCTGAACTTTTATTTCAGGAGCATAAACTTACACAGTGTTTATTTAAAGTACCTTGAACCATGAAACTTTCAAGTACCACAACCCTGAACTTGCACATGCATATAATAGTCAAATGTTCAACAAAATGAGTAGAAAAAATACTTTCTGAAATAAAGTGCTATGTTACTTTGCATACCGTTTTAGTAATAACTATTTTTCTCACCTCCACAAAAAATAACCATGACTATATTGTCAAGGGTAAGAGTGGGAAAGATCTCCTGCAGCTCTGTTGAAGTCTGGATCTGTACATTGTCAATAGTAGGATATGAGGAAACACTTTAGGAAGATACAGCTTTTGTTCACCTCTTGGGAACAGTACTGTAGATTATATCATAACAGACTTAGATCTTTCATCTCTCCGAGCATTTACTGTCAGAGAACTAACCCCACTGTCTGATCACAGTCAAATTACTAACAAACACTAACATTAGCACACAGCCCAGTAAACACACAGATGGGCTGACAACAGCACAGAGGAGAACCAGAAAGCAACAAGTAGCCAAAACATACAACTGCTCACAAATTCTGAAAAAGTTTTTTCATAAAATTAAATGTATACATCATAACTTTAAGACTCTGTCAAACTATGAGAAACTGCCCATCTTATTAGCAGAATGTGCGGACTGCTGCGTTCTAACAGCACAGTATGAGTCCATCTGTCACAACATGAGAAACAGTGAGTGATTCAACACCAGTCTGTCTCCAGCACTATTTATTCACGCACTTTCCTACTGTATTATTGCAATTACTTTACTCTATTCTTTAATGCCACACATTTGATATTTTTTATATGTTTTTCCTCTTCTTTCTTTCTTTATGCTGTTTTGCATTACTCTTATATTGCAATACAAATGTACACAAATTTGTCATGCCAATGAAGCACCTAAAACTGAAACTGAGAAAGTGTGAGTTAGTGTGAGAGAGTGTGAATACCTAGTATTCCCTATGTTATGAGGACTAAATGCTCCCACCAGTATAGTAATACCAGTAAATTTTGACCTTGTGATTTTTTTTGGTCCCTATGAGGAAACAAGCCTATAAACCACACAGATTTAAGTTTATTGAAAATCTAAAAATGCCTGTAGGTTTGTGTGAGGGGTAGGTTTAGGGTAAGGGAATAGAAAATACAGTTTGAAGAGTAGAAAAACCATTATGCCTATGGAATGAACCCATAAAAGATGGAAACCCGTGTGAGTGTGTGTACTTGTTTAACTACACTTGTGAGGGCCAAATGTCCTCACTGAGCAAACTGCTTTACAGACTTGAAGACACACCTGTTTTACACACGTTACACAAACACAGAACCAGGAAACAGGAATCAGTTCAGGAAAAGAGAAACTAACGTATAGTTGAGCTGTTGTGTGTTTGTGTCTCTGTATTCATTCAGTAAAATGGCAGGAGCCAGAATTTTTCAGGATGAGTTCTTGTGTGCAGTGTGTCAGGATCTCCTTAAGAATCCAGTGACCATCCAGTGTGGACACAGTTACTGTGAGAGCTGTATTACAGGCTGCTGGGATCAGGAGGATCAGATGAGAGTCTACAGCTGCCCTCAGTGCAGACAGACCTTCAGTCAAAGACCTGCTTTAGGGAAAAACACCATTCTGGCTGAAATGGTGGAGAAACTGAAGAAGACCAATCTTCCTGCTGACTGTTATGCTGGAGCTGGAGATGTGCAGTGTGACGTCTGTACTGGAAGAAAATACAAAGCTGCCAAGTCCTGTCTGGTGTGTCTGAACTCTTACTGTCAGAATCACCTTGAACAACATGAGAGTTTGTTTAAAGGAAAGAGACACAGTTTGATTGATGCCACTGGACGACTGCAGGAGATGATCTGCCAGAAACATGAGAAGCTCCTTGAGATTTTCTGTCACACTGACCAGAAATGTATATGTGTGCTGTGTATGGATGAACATAAAAGCCATGACACTGTATCAGCTACAGCACAGAGGACAAAGAAACAGGTATTAAAAACTAGTGATCAAGTAAATACTCAGTGCAATAATCCAATAGTTTATTTTCTGTCTAGAGCTGCAGCATAATTATGCAAAACACAAACACTGTCAGTGTGAAGATCTACACTAGTTTCACTTTTTTAATACTTACAGTGTGAAACACTCCTTATTGCTTCATATTAATTAATGTACAATGATTGTACCGATCATCCCTTCTGAAGTTTGAACTTACAGCTATTAGTTATCAGTTCCACTTTTACTGGATTCACATATTGATTTAGTGCCAGCAGTTCCCCTTCAGAAACTCGAGCTGCATCTAACGTTTTGGGAACACCTTCAGTGTGACCACGCTCTGAATTGTGTGTGTAATCAGACCAATGGATGGACGCGACGTCACGGACGGGGTGACGAGTGACGTGGTGACCAGGAAGCTATAAAGACACGTGCGGTGGAGACAGCAGCAGCTTCTGTCATTCATCGTAACATTCTGTGTGTATGTCTTATTTACCATTGTCTGTCACTGTCTCAAACAAGAAAGCAAAAATGCCAAAGTCTAAGCACAAGACTGATAAAGGGGGTGATAAAGGCAAGCAACATTTTAGGCTGTTTCTACATCACGGGAGGGGATACACACAGCCTTTGTGTTGTTTGTCTGGGAGCAAAGCACGCAGAGTCAGCTCTCGAGGGGGCTGACTGTCCACACTGTGAGCACCTCTTGCTGCGGATGCTTCACTCCCGGAGGGCTCTCTTTGAGGATTGTGGTCGTGGGGTTTGCAAATGGATCTGGTGGAGGGGATGGAGATGTGCGAGTCCCTTTCTTCTCCCTCGGCCACCGAATCCAGCGCCACCTCCCAGGGTTCGGAAGCACGCTCTGAGGGAGCGATTTCTTCCCCCCGGGGAGAGGGCTCGGCGCTTAAACTGTCGTCCTCCAAGGAGGGCGATGGCGAGAGCACCGACGAACCACCCCAGTCTGCACAGTACGAGGAGCTTGTGGAGGTGATAACTCGCGCTGTGGCCAAGTTAAATCTTGAATGGCCCACTGAGAAGCAGGCTGAACACTCAAAGAGCAAGCTAGATGAGCGTTTTTTGAGGTCTAAGTCGCCCCCTCCATGCCGGGGCTTGCTATTTTTCCCTGATCTCCACACTGAGGTGTCGAGATCGTGGTCGAGACCATATTCGGCCCGCCTCTTTAGTCCCTCTCTCATCGATTACAGCAACGTTACGGGACTAAGTGAGCGTGGTTATAGAGCGATGCCCTGGGTTGAACAGACACTCACGGGTTATCTGTCTCCCGGTGTGGCATCATCTCTAAAAGCCTCGGCACTGCCCACCAAGCCGCTTCGCACTACATCAGCGCTGGTGGGCAAAGGGTACACGACAGCAGGTCAGGCTGGTGTTTGCCTTCATACTATGGCAGTTTTGCAAGCATACCAAGCGGACCTGCTGAAAGAGCTGGATGAGGGCGAGGAAGTTAAATCTGATGACATCAAAGAACTTTGTAGAACTGCTGATTTGTCTCTCCGTGCCACAAAGGAGACCGCCAAAGCAATCGCAGTCTATGGCAGCCCTAGTGGCCACGGAGAAGCATCTATGGTTGACTCTGTCTGAAATTAAAGACAGGGTCTTCCTCCTCCGACGCCCCGCTTGCACCTTCTGGCCTGTCCGGCGACGCCATCAATTCCGTCGCCGACAGGTTTCAGAAGGCTCGTAAATAAGAGGCGGCGTTTCAGCAGTTCTTCCCTCGCCGCACTCTGGCTCATGGGGCTGCTGGATGGGAGCAGCCCCAGCTGTGTGCCCACTCCTTGTACAGAGAGGCACAGAAAGTGAGCTTCGCGACTCGTACACCCCCACGTCAATGGGGATCGCGAGGGGAGCGACGCTCACGCCGATGGCCGAAGGCTTCTTAGCCAGAAGGACGAATTGATGGCGTCGCCGGACAGGCCAGAAGGTGCAAGCGGGGCGTCGTTTCAGAAGGCTCGTAAATAAGAGGCGGCGTTTCAGCAGTTCTTCCCTCGCCGCACTCTGGCTCATGGGGCTGCTGGATGGGAGCAGCCCCAGCTGTGTGCCCACTCCTTGTACAGAGAGGCACAGAAAGTGAGCTTCGCGACTCGTACACCCCCACGTCAATGGGGATCGCGAGGGGAGCGACGCTCACGCCGATGGCCGAAGGCTTCTTAGCCAGAAGGACGGTCCTCAGATCGGCCTTCAGCTTCGAAGCCTTCGACCAACAAGCCCTGATGTTTGTGTCCCAGGGCTTCTGAGGGCAGCCCCTGCTGGGAAAGAGTGGTGTACACCTCATTACATGGTGCCCGTCTCTCCTCAGTGCCCTCAGGAGGCTGAGCTGTTAACCCTGCCACCGCCGGTGCTTCAGGGCACAGCGGCCTCCAGCGAGCACACGTCTCAGTGTCCGCCAGAAAACATTGCGGATATGGGAAGCTCGCTACCTCTGAGGAGGTTTCCTATTACACCGGAGGTCAGTCTCGAGAGACTGATTCCCTTAGTAGATCCCTCTGGCAGCATGGATGCTTCTGCCAAATATTTCAAGATGGGTCCTGCAGACTGTAGAAAGAGGTTACAGAATTCAATTTGGTTCACCTCCACCTCGTTTCAACGGGCTCGTTTCCACTGTGGTGGGTCCCGAGCAGGCTCTGGTGTTAGAACAAGAAGTAAACCTTCTATTGCAGGTTTGAAAAAACACCCCACACCCGCCCTGAACACCTCTCCACACAACCATTAACAGCTCCTGCAACCCCCCTCTCCCCAACACCTGCACTTCAAATCAGTGAAGACGATGTGCGCCAGGTCTTCCGGATGCAGAAAAGAAAAAAAGCAACAGGTCCAGATTGTGTTACTCTTACATTTCAGACTTAGCCTGTCTGAAATCATGTGCTGACCAGCTGGCCCCCATCTTCACACAGATCTTCAACAGATCACTGGAGCTGTGCGAAGTCCCTTCATGCTTCAAACGCTCCACCATCATCCCCATCCCAAAGAAATCCCAAATTACAGGACTAAATGACTACAGGCCTGTGGTTCTAACGTCTGTGGTCATGAAGTCTTTTGAAAAACTGGTGCTGGCCCACCTGAAGGACATTACTGGACCCTTGCTGGATCCTCTTCAGTTTGCCTACAGAGCAAACAGGTCTGTGGATGATGCAGTCAACATGGGACTGCATTATGTTCTGCAACATCTCGACAGACCAGGGACTTATGTGAGGATCCTGTTAGTGGACTTCAGCTCGGCTTTTAACACAATCATCCCAAACCTCCTCCTGCCCAAACTAACTCAGCTCTCCATGCCCACCTCCACCTGTCAGTGGATCACCAGCTTCCTGACAGACAGAAAGCAGCTAGTGAGGCTGGGAAAATACACATCCAGCACCCGTAAGATCAGCACTGGAGCTCCTCAGGGTTGCGTCCTCTCCCCACTGTTCTTCTCCTTCTACACCAACGACTGCACATCTAAAGACCCCTCTGTCAAGCTCTTGAAGTTTGCAGACGACACCGCACTTATCGGCCTCATTCAGGATGGTGACGAGTCTGTTTACAGACAGGAGATTTAAGAGCTTGCTGTCTGGTGCAGTCTTAACAACCTGGAGCTTTACACGCTCAAAACTGTGGAGATGATTGTGGACTTCAGGAGAAACCCGCCTGCTCTCCCCCCACTCACCATCATGGACAGCACTGTAATGACAGTGGAGTCATTCAAGTTCCTGGGCACCACTATCTCTCAGGACCTAAAGGGGGACACTCACATTGACTCCACTGTTAAAAAGGCCCAGCAGAGGTTGTACTTCCTTCGCCAGCTGAGGAAGTTCAACCTGCCCCAGGAGCTGCTGAAACAATTCTACTCTGCCATCATTGAATCCGTCCTCTGCACTTCAATAACTGTCTGGTTCAACTCAGCTACCAAATCTGACCTCAGAAGACTACAGAGGATAGTCCGGATTGCTGAGCGAATAACTGGTACAACTCTCTCTTCTCTTCAAGAACTGTACTCATCCAGAGTGAGCAAAAGGGCTGGCAGAATCACTCTGGACCCCTCACATCCAGCACACTCCCTCTTTGAACTGTTGCCATCTGGTCGACGCTACAGAGCACTGAGCACCAGAACGGCCAGACACAGGAACAGTTTCTTTTGCACTAATATACCTGTACATACAAAACTATCTATTGTAATATACCTGTACATACAATTGTCAATTTGTATATTGTATTCCCTATTTACTTGTTCTATTTTTTTATTTATTTATATATTTGATTTTTTTCTGTGTTTTTGTTCTGTCACTGTCATTCTGTTTCACTGTGGAAGCTTCTGTCACGAAAACAAATTCCTTGTATGAGTAAAAATACCGGGCAATAAAGCTCATTCTGATTCTGATTCATTCTAAATACTCTTCTGAGGAAGGAGGCCATTAAGGTGGTCCCTCCTCTCGACAGAGAATCCAGGTTCTACAGCCGGTACTTCATTGTTCTGAAGAAGGATGGGGGGTTGCACCCGATTTTAGATCTGCGTCAGTTGAACAGCTCAGTCATGCGACTGAAGTTCAAGATGCTTACAATCAAACAGGTCGTGTCTCAGATCAGGTCTGAGGACTGGTTTGTCACGATATATCTAAAAGGCGCGTACTTCCATGTCTCCATCCTTCCTCAACACAGGAAGTTCCTGAGGTTTGCTTTCGGGGCGAAGCTTACCAATATCGGGCTCTGTCGTTCGGCCTTGCACTCTCACCCCGAACTTTCACGAAGTGTGTGGATGCTGCTCTGGCTCCACTGCGACTCCAGGGCATCCGCATACTAAATTATATAGATGATTGGTTGATTCTAGCTCAATCGGAGCAGACGGTGGTTCGACATCGAGATGTCGTTCTCGCCCATATGAAAGAGCTGGAGCTAAGATTAAATGCAAAGAAAAGTGTGCTTTCTCCGTCACAGAGGACCACTTATCTGGGCGTGGTGTGGGATTCGACCACGATGCAAGCACAGCTGTTTCCTGCTTGGATCGAGTCGATCCTCACTGCAGTCGCGAGAGTCAAAGAGCGTCGGTCACTCACTGTCAAACAGTTTCAAAAATTGCTGTGTCTGATGGCAAGCTGCGTCCAACGTGATACATTTTGTCCTACTGTACATGAGACCCCTACCTCGTGTTCCACCATGGGGCCTGGCCGTGGTCCTGGAGGCTTTCTGTAAACCTCCATTTGAACCAATAGAGGAGGTTTCAGATTGAGTTCTGATACTTAAGACGGTCTTCTTATTAGCCATCACTTCTCTGAAAAGAGTCGGAGATTTGCAGGCCTTGTCAGTGGCCCACTCCTTCCTAGACTTTTCGCCCGGCTTGGCCAAAGCTTTTCTGTACCCTAGGCCAGGGTACATCCCTAAAGTGCCCTACTCAGTACCACGGCCCGTCGTACTTCAGGCTTTCTGTCCTCCTCCCTTTCAGGAGCCTGACCAGCAGAAGCAGTGCGAGCACTGGACACATATGTCCACAGAGCTGCCATGTGGAGGAAGTCTGACCAGTTATTTTTCTGTTATGGTCCTTCCAAGAGGGATCTGCCCGCCACCAAGCAGACCCTCAGTCGTTGGATCGTTAATGCCATTGCTATGTCTTACGAGTCCTCTGGTCTTCCCTCGCCCGTGGGGGTCAAGGCTCACTCCACCCGAAGTGTGGCGGCCTCGAAGGCCTTCCTGTCGGGTGTGGCTATGCAGGATATATGTAACGCTGCGGGTTGGTCTACGCCGCTCACGTTCGTCAGGTTCTACGACCTCGATATTCGTACTGCTCCTGGTTCCTCTGTCTTCTTGCCGTAGTTGTGCTGAAGTTCATACACACTACGCAGGGACTTGAAAGTCTGGCGGCTGGGGCATCCTCGTTCCCAAAGCATTCGATGCAGCTCGAGTTCCTGAAGGGGAACGTCTCAAGGTTACGTATGTACCCCTAGTTCCCCCGAGGGAATGAGACGCTGCGTCTCCTTCCATACTTCCGGCATCTCTGTGAGCGCTTCCTTCATTCTACCAGAAGCTGCCGCTGTCTCCACCACACGTGCTTTTATAGCTTCCTGGTCACTACGTCACCCTGTCCGTGACTTCACGTCCATCCATTGGTCTGATTACACACACGATTCAGAGCGTGGTCACGCTGAAGGCAATTCCAAAGCGTTTGACACAGCGGTGGATCGTTAATGCCATTGCTAAGTCTTACGAGTCCTCTGGTCTTCCCTTGTCCTTGGGGGTCAAGGCTCACTCCACCCGAAGTGTAGCGGTCTCAAAGAAAGCTGTTCCCTCTGGGAACTAGGGTTACATACGTAACCTTGAGGCGTTTTCTGTGACATTCACTATACTGTTTGTCCTTCAGAAGCAGCTGAAGGAGACTCAGAAGACGTTCCAGCAGAGAATCCAGCAGAGAGAGAAAGATCTTCAGCAACTGAGAGAGGCTGTGGAGTCTCATAAGGTGAGTCTGGAGAAGAAGAGAAGTTTGTCTCAGTCTCAGTTCAGACTCACTGAAGCCTGAATCACTGTGTGTCCTAACAGCGCTCTGCACAGACAGCAGTGGAGGACAGTGAGAGGCTCTTTACTGAGCTGACACAGCTATTCAGAGATCAGGAAAAGACTGCAGTAAGTCAAGCTGAAGAACGACTGGAGCGACTGGAGCAGGAGATCAATGATCTGAGGAGGAGAGCCGCTGAGCTGGAGCAGCTTTCACACACACAGGATCACATCCAGTTCCTGCAGGTAACAGAGATCTAGAAGAACAGGATCATAGTGGACTTGAGCAGATCCTGCAGTAACAGGAAACTCACAGAGAAACATTTCATGAGTGTCTTATATAATCATCAGTCAGACTCTCATCTGATAATCTTCTTTTGAAAACAGGGACCCAGAAAAAAAAAATCAATTAAGGAGCCATTGGCTCCTATAAGAAACAAAATTGTCTCATTGTTGCCCATCTAGTTCACCTGTTGTTAAGTTCATTAACACCAAAGCAGCTGAAACTGATTAACAACCCCCTCTGCTACTTAACTGACCAGATCAATATCCTAGGAGTTTAATTGACTTGATGCTATACTCTGATTAAAAAGTGTTCCTTTACTTTTTTTTAGCAGTGTATTTAGCTGTCAAACACCACTATCACCACCAACAGTTCAAAAATTCACTAACATTTTAACATTTTACCACATTTTTCCTTCAGATTCATTACGTTACAGTGAAATCAGTGAACTCTATAGTACCCATTTTTAGCTACGCTCATCAAAATTGGATCAGGTGATTATCAAACTTGAATTTTTTTTGGGCCTGTAACACATTGATGAATTTGACCATGACAATCCCAAACATGAAGTGAAGTTGGGATAACTTGGAAATCACAAAGATCACATATAGTTTTAGAATTACTAGAATCTGTAGCTCTAATTTGATTTAATGAATATGAGAATAATGAAGCTGATGCAGTGAAAGTGCTGGATTGAGGTGAGCTACTAAAGATAAGCCAAGTCAACAAGATCCGCACAAATCTGATATCCGTGCAGTTAATTGCGTTAAGTGTGGAGCAGATGAGTTTTGATTTCTGTTTTCTGTAGAGTTTCCAGTCTCTCTCAGCACCTCCTGAATCTACAGACGTAAATGATGATCCCTTAATTTCTCTCTTCCCTTTTGATGGCCTGAGAGAATCTGTTTATCAGCTGAGAGACAAACTGAAGGATTCCTGCAAAGAGGAGCTCAAGAAGATCTCAGACAGAGGTAAAGTCCTGGAGATTCATCTGCTCTCAGAAACCAGTCCATCATCATCTCATATCATGGAGAACATCATATTGGAAAGGAACGACTTCCTACAATGTAAGTAAGAAAACAAGCAGAAACCTCACTGAGTTCATGTTCGTCTTGTAGAAGGTGAAAGAAGAGTTTTATAACTGATGATGTAAAATGATGATTTGCACAGGATATCTGTTCATCTGTACTGAGACACTGATGATACACTGAACATGAAGAGTTCAGCTACATGAAAAGATCAAACAGATTCATAATTCCTGATTCTGATGTGTTTCATCTCCATCAGATTCCCATCAGCTCACTCTGGATCTGAACACAGTGAATAAACGCCTCCTTCTATCTGAGAACAACAGAGTGATAACATTCACTAACACAGTCCAGTCATATCCTGATCATCTAGACAGATTTGATTATTATTCTCAGGTGTTGTGTAGAGAGAGTGTGTGTGGATGCTGTTACTGGGAGCTGGAGTGGAGTGGAGATGTGTTAATATCAGTGTCATATAAGAGCATCAGCAGGAAGGGACGTGGTAAAGAATGTGAGTTTGGATATAATGATCAGTCCTGGAGTTTGCGCTGCACTCCCTCCAGTTACTCATTCTGGCACAATTACATAGAGACTGTTCTCCCTGTAGAGCCCATCAGCAGTAGAATAGGAGTGTATGTGGATCACAGTGCAGGAACTCTGTCCTTATACAGCGTCTCTGACACAAAGAGCCTCATCCACACAGTCCAGACCACATTCACTCAGCCGCTCTATCCTGGGTTTAATGTTTATCTTAGTGGATCATCAGTGAAACTGTGCTGATGAATCAGAATAGACTGATGACAGATTCTACCCATAATGCTTTGAGATGCATGATGCATCAGTAATAGTGAGTTCTTATGGAGTCTCTTCATTATATTAATACGGCAGTGAAATAACATGTCAGAATAAATGTGTGTAATAAACCTCAATACAGACAGTAAGATTAGTGTGTTTGAGTCCTACTGAGTGACCATGTGTTTCTGTTCTTCTCTCGAGCTCTGTTTTTGTTGATTGAAATTGGTCATTTAGCTTTTAATGTAGTGTCATATCAATCATTTTTATTATTACTATCAAAATTACCTTTCAACTAAAATGATAACACACAGTCAATAAAACATTCTCCCTTTTCACTGTTTTACGTTTTTGTCTTCCAGTGTAACGAGTCACTGTTTTTATTGTCATGCATTTATTTGTTACGGCTGTTGTCCTGCTTCTCTGTAACTTGTATTCTTTAAGTGTTTTTTCTGAGACTGAAATCTAGTAGATATTTCATTATTAAGATTCCCCAATCCTAGTCCCTGAGAGTCACTTTCCCACAGAGTTTAGTTTTGATCTGTATTAAACACACCTGAATCAACTAGTCAAGGTCTTTGCATTTACTTTAATAACAGCCAAGTGTGTTAAAAACTAAACTCCACAGAAGCAGGAATGAGAAACCTGCTTTACATACTCACAGACACACCTGTTTTACACACGTCACTCAAACACAGAACCAGGAAACAGGAATAACCTGAGTTCAGGAAAAGAGAAACTGAAGTGTGGGTGAGCTGTTGTGTGTTTGTGTCTCTGTATTCAAGCTACAAAATGGAAGCAGCCAGAATTTCAGTGAATGAGTTCACGTGTCCAGTGTGTCTGGATCTCCTTAAGAATCCAGTGACCATCCAGTGTGGACACAGTTACTGTGAGAGCTGTATTACAGGCTGCTGGGATCAGGAGGATCAGATGAGAGTCTACAGCTGCCCTCAGTGCAGACAGACCTTCAGTCCAAGACCTGCTTTAGCTAGAAACACCATGCTGGCTGAACTGATGGAGAAACTGAAGAAGACCAAACTCTCTGCTGACTGTGATGCTGGAGCTGGAGATGTGCAGTGTGACGTCTGTACTGGAAGAAAATACAAAGCTGCCAAGTCCTGTCTGATGTGTCTGAACTCTTACTGTCAGAATCACCTCGAACAACACGAGAGTTGGTTTAAAGGAAAGATACATAGTTTGATTGATGCCAATGGACGACTGCAGGAGATGATCTGCCAGAAACATGAGAAGATCCACAAGGTTTTCTGTGGTCTGATCAGAAATGTATATGTGTGCTGTGTACGGTTATAGAACATAAAAACCATGAGATTGTATCAGCTGCAGAACAGAGGACAGAGAAACAGGTATTTAAGACTAGACACTGATGAAATATTGCTAAACTCTCCTTATGTTTCATGTACAATGATTGCAACCGATCATCGCTTCTGGATGCCATTGGTTATAAGTTGAGATAAGTAGCCCAACCTTATGTTTAGTGGATTCATCTGTTCATATGATGATTTAGTGCCAGTAGTTCTCTCTCTGACATTCACTTTCATCCATTTGTCCTGCAGAAGCAGCTGAAGGAGACTCAGAAGACGTTCCAGCAGAAAATCCAGCAGAGAGAGAAAGATCTTCAGCAGCTGAGAGAGGCTGTGGAGTCTCAGAAGGTGAGTCTGGAGAAGAAGAGAAGTTTGTCTCCGTCTCAGTTCACACTCACTGAAGCCTGAATCACTGTGTGTCCTAACAGCGCTCTGCACAGACAGCAGTGGAGGACAGTGAGAGGATCTTTACTGAGCTCATCCGCTCCATTGAGAGAAGCCGCTCTGAGCTGATACGGCTGATCAGAGATCAGGAAAAGACTGCAGTGAGTCTAGATGAAGGACGACTGGAGCGACTGGAGCAGGAGATCAATGATCTGAGGAGGAGAGCCGCTGAGCTGGAGCAGCTTTCACACACACAGGATCACATCCAGTTCCTGCAGGTAACACAGATCTAGAAGCTCTAGTCTAGAAATGTTCATTTCAGTGTTTGTGCACTGAACGCAGAGATATAAACAAGAGGTTTGATCGCTTGCGCAGCTGCGTCTCTCTCTCACTCAGGGTCGGAAATTAACGAGGGCTTGCGGCAAAAATGCCACCAAAATGAACAAAAAAGCCCCATAAATTCAAAACAAAGGGGCAAAAAATGCCCCTGCACAATTAAACAATGTATTACATCTGTCACGATTAAAATGAATTAAAAGTGTCAATTCGTGGAATTACATTCAGATCTGATCACACTGCATCAGACTGCTTTTACGCACTGTTTTGTGCACCGATGAGCCTCGTAACCAATCAAATGTGTTTCTGTTGAACTTAGGAATGCATTGGCCAATCAAGAGGTGCTTATATTAGTCAGCGCTGAAAATGCCGGAGCTGCGTGAAGTGCGCATGCTCACAAATTCCCTCATCATAAACAACAGTGCAGATGTAAATAAAAGATCAATTTGTAGATAAAAGATCAATTTTAACAATGTAAATAAAAGATCAATTTTGTTGCTTCAGTGATTATAACATGTGTTTATGCATAACTTACACTAGAGTAGACTAACGTCATGGATCGACATGTTTGTCTGTGAAGCCAGAATTTGATGTCCCCAAAATGCAGACACGAAACAAAAACATTTTTATATTGTTTTCTATATCGATATTAATAATCATTATTACAATATAAAGAGTAATAATCTACAATATTGATTTTTGTCATAATATTGCAAACCTATGAGCTCTTGTATTTCATATGAATAATTTAGGTACAGTGTTAAACAGTGTATTGTTATTGACACCAGTTTTAACATACTGATTAAAGTAATTGGGTAATTGGGATTGAGGTTAGTTACTAAAGATGAGTCAAGTCAACAAGAGCCACACAAATCTGATGTTGGTGCAGGTTATTAGATGAATTATTGGCTGATGAGTTTTGATTTCTGTAGAGTTTGTAGTCTCTCTCAGCACCTCCTGAATCTACAGATGGAAATGATGATCCCTTAATTTCTCTCTTCTCTTTTGATGGTCTGAGAGAATCTGTCCGTCAGCTGAGAGACAAACTGCAGGAATTGTTAAAAAAGAGGAGCTCAAGAAGATCTCAGACAGAGGTAAAGTCCTGGAGATACATCTGCTCTCAGAAACCAGTCCATCATTATCTCATATCATGGAGACCATCATATTAGAAATGTTTAAGGAATGGATGCAGGATCATGAGAATCACACTGTTCATGTCTCTTGATTTCCACAGTCACATTCACTTACATTGTCCCCAGAACCAGAAAGAACTTCCTACAATGTAAGTCAGTAAGAAAACAATCAGAAACCTCACTGAGTTCATGTTCCTCCTGTAGAAGGTGAAAGAAAAGTTTTATAATTAATGATGTAAATGATGATTTGCACAGGATATCTGTTCATCTGTACTGAGACACTGATGATACACTGAACATGAAGAGTTCAGCTACATGAAACGATCAAACAGATTCATAATTCCTGATTCTGATGTGTTTTATCTCCATCAGATTCCCATCAGCTCACTCTGGATCTGAACACAGTGAATAAACTCCTCCGTCTGTCTGAGAACTGGTACTGACACACTCCAGCCATATCCTGATCATCCAGACAGATTTGATGTCTATCGTCAGGTGTTGTGTAGAGAGAGTGTGTGTGGACGCTGCTACTGGGAGCTGGAGTGAAGTGGAAATTATGTGTATATATCAGTGTCATATAAGAGCATCAGGAGGACGGGAGATGGTGATAAGTGTGGGTTTGGTAATAATGCTCAGTCCTGGTGTTTGGAGTGCATTCACTCCAGATACTCATTTACCCACAATAACATAGAGACTGTTCTCCCTGTGAAGCCCATCTGCAGTAGAATAGGAGTGTATGTGGATCACAGTGCAGGAACTCTGTCCTTATACAGCGTCTCTGACACAATGAGCCTCATCCACACAGTCCAGACCACATTCACTCAGCCGCTCTATCCTGGGTTTGGGGTTTATTATCTTGGATCATCAGTGAAACTGTGTCGATGAATCAGAATAGATCTGATGAGAGATTCTACCCATAATGCTTTGAGATGCATGATGAATCAGTCTCTTCTTTTCTCTTCATGACATTAATACTGCAGTCAAATAACATGTCAGAATAAATGTGTGTAATAAATCCTCATACAGGTAGTAAGATCAGTGTGTGTGTGAGTCCTGCTGAGTGGCCATGTGTTTCTGTTCTTCTCTCAATCTCTGTTTGTGCTGATGGAAATCAGTCATTTAGTTTTTAACATAGTGTCACATCTGATCACATAGTACAGTAACAGCAACCATAAGCACTAGTAGTGACGATTGACTTAATAAACAGCACTATTAAAGTGAGTCTGTCCAGCAGGGGGCAGTGTTGAATTATGTTCAGTTTGATGAAGCATAAATCTGACTTTGTCAGAACTATGCAAAGTAAAAAATAAATCACGAAATGATTATATGCTGAATATCAGCTGGCCACAAGTTAATTATTGCATCAGTAAATTAATTATGTTTGTGCTGTTTTAGAATCTTAATGAGTAATAATTACATTTGTTCAGAATGCAAAACAACTTAATAGTATTTAAATACATTAAATGTCAGCAACCAAGCAAACAGGACTACCAGCAACATCCATCATACGTGAACCATGATGACCCATGATAACACACACACACACACACACACACACACACAGGTTTGGTTTCCATTTCTTGTTGGGACATTCCATATGCACAATGGGGTTTTTTTCTACTGTACAAACTGTATTTTCTATCCCTATAACTTTCACTAAAAATAGTGCTGACAGCACTAAAAATGTAATTCATTGAATATTAACACAACATTAATTGAATATGAGTCAATAAATGTTTGAATAGTGTTCGAGTTGCCATGCTGTTCAGTTCTGTCGTTCCGCTCTATATTTGAGTTTTCTCTGACCTCCTTCAGAAACAAAGATGCCCTGCGTCTCTGCCATCAGTCCACTTTCACAGTCAT